TTTCTTTTGGTTACATTTATCTTCTTCTCTCTCTCTTTCTGCCTCTTACTTCTCTTTTGTCTCTCTCACCCCAAACAAAATCAAAACCCTAAATCACAATCACGACGGAAGCGTGACCCTTCACTCTTCCTCTCCGATACCACCACAAAATCAAATTGCGAAACAAAATACAAAAAAGCTAAGTCTTACTATCGTTTTCTCCGATCGCGGTTTTCATTTCTCTGTTCTGTTTTTAGCTAATCCCTTATCCTTCTGTATGTAGGCATGGCGACAACATGATGACGGCGACAACATCGTAATGGTAGCAGCAATGGTTGAAGAAAGAAGACGACGATTATGCAATTCAATAGATTTTGGGTTTCGGGTCTCGAAACCCAAATCTCGAGTGAGGGCTAGCGAAGCTTCGTACCTTCGTTCGTAGTTTTCTGTATTTCTTTTCTCTCCTCATTGTTATGATTTTGTTCACAAAACTCTTCTTTGTAATCTTTTCTTTGTAATTTTTGTTTCTGTTTTCCCCCCTCTAGTACTATTCTTAGTTCTAGATTTTTTACAGAATAGGAAATAACATCAAGCGAAGTTATTAGGCAGATTATTATAGTTTGATTGTTTTAGGAAATTAGGGATTGTAACTTGATTTGTGTTATAGACTGTATTGATCATGTATTAAGTATTCAGTTCTAAAAAAAAGAATGAAAATATATTGTTTGATTATGTTCCTGCAATGTTTTGATACTGTTTTTGTTTGTAACCTGCTCACGCGTTTTTCTTTGATTGATACAATGTGTGTTTGTGTTATTTGGTCTTAGGCCAAGCCTGTTTTTGTTTTGAATTTGAGCCTGTGATTTGGCTTTCTTGGACTGTGCAAAACAGACTGTATAAATGTTCCTTTTTCCAAATAAATAACTAAAAAAAACGGTTATAATTAAAAACAAAATAACCTTTTCAAAACAGACCAAAAATACTCATTGGGCCACATTTTTTAACTTATTGGGCCTTAAAAATGTATTTCTCTAACACCCCCTAACTTATTCTAAAAACAAAACCTTAATATTTTTAGTGGGCTTTGGTAATGAACCGTGGAAAGGAAGACCTTTTTTGTTAACAAAGAAATCAAATTAAATTTAGTTTATAATATACTATCTAAATTAAAATCAATATTAGTTATAATTTAATAGTAGTCAATAATTATAAGATGATAATAATATTATAACAAAAACAATCTAAACAAAAAAAAAACAAATGGGCCACACCGTTTTTATTCATTGGGCCTTTAAACAAAAACAAAATTGTTCACACCTCCTTTGATTAAAACAATGCACCTCCCATTTTTAACTTGAAATGTACCTCTCTTTTAAAAACCTAATGGGCCATCAGATATTGATGGTTCATTTTAAATCCAACACCCCTTCTTCCATGTTTTACACCCATGTTGAAATAAAATTAAACAATACGATTTATTTAAAAAGAACCCTAAATATAATATAAGGGTAAGACAAATTTGGGGTATGACAACTATATCTTGGTCTGATGATGATAAGTAAGAAGGTGAAGATAATTCTAAGACCGCCAAATTGGTGTTGGCTCTATCTGGCAGATGAGCAGATGAAGTTGAAGCTTGTGATGAGTATGATGAGAATGATTTCTATGAAGACCTGGAAGTTTCCTACAGGGATACTTGTGACAATGTGAAGAAATCGTCAATAAAGAGGAAGAGCACAAAAAGATCATTGTTGATTTGGAGAATAAAAGGAAGCAACTCCTTAATTTTATTTCTCATCTACAAATTGATGTAACACGCCTAAATTCTAAGCTTGCCAACTTGACTGATTCTATAAATATTGTGAAAGAGAATGAAGATACCAATGTTCATTATTAATATGATAATAAACTTGGGAGAATGTCAAAGGGGAAGGTCTTTCCTTCCGAAAAGAATAAAAAGATTATCATGTTGAAACTCGTGTTACAACATCCTGGCAAATGTGATAAATCTTCAAACCAACCTCAATCCACTTGGAAGTGTCACTACTGTGGTGAGTCTGGTCACATAAATCCATTCTATTTCAAATTGTATGGAGATCAAAGAACTCCAGTTTATTCCAAGACTAACACAGTGGGAAAAAAGAGAAGTGTTGAAAATATGGATGTTAATCTTATAACACATACTTCTTTGAGAGACTCAACAAGTGAAGACTGATACTTTGACAGTGGATGATCTAGACATATGACAGGGGTGCAGAAGACGTTGGTGGATATCAAGCCATATCCCAAAGGTTCTATTAGATTTGGAGATGGATTTAATGGAGAAATCAAAGAAGTTGGAAAGCTGATGTGTGATGGTTGTCCCATGTTAGAAAATGTGTTGTTTGTCAAAGGATTGACGACTAATCTTATTAGCGTTAGTCAACTGTGTGGCCAAAGTTTGTTAGTCAACTTCTCAAGATCAGAATGTCTAGTCAAAATGAGAAAGAAGTTGTTCTAATGAAAGGGGTAAGGTCTAAAGACAACTGCTACATATGGGAATCTCAAATAGTTGCTTACTTGTCATACCCCATTTTTTGCCCCTAATTTGTTCATTCATAACATCATATGCATTTACATCATAAATCTTTCATTCATTTGATATATTAAGACATGGGCTCAAATGGCTCTTGGAATTAGGGTTTTCCCCTATAAATTGAGGTTGCTACCTTTCTCAAGTTGATTCCACTGTTTCATTTATCTATCTTGGTACGAAACCAGGGTTTTGGATCTACAGGCATCATAAGTATTTTCCTTGGAAAGATTCCTCGAGATACAAGTTTTTCTTCATCTGAATTTCTTCAAGAAAATAGTGCATTAGAATTTGACTTGTGTACTCAAGACTTTATCATGAATTCACTGTGAATGTCCTTGAGCTAGATTTTGTTACTCTCACCATCTCAAGCCTTCTTCGTCCATATGCACTCAAGGTCTAGAGATTTGGGGTTTCTCCTAATTACCTGCTCCACAAGTTAATTCTTCTCGAGAGGTTAGGAATTTTCCTCAAGGGCATGTCTTTGTGTCAAATTCGTCAATAGAAGAAAGTACTTTGTCAAGACAAGAGGGTTTGTTGATTAATGAAAAGAATGAATCATGGCACAAAATATGAATGCGAAAATTCTTTATGATCAAGGTCTTGTCGCCTAGAAATTACTTGTTACTTGCAAGTTAATTTGGATTCATTTTTATGAAGATATTCATTCAGGTATGTTATTTGCAAATGACCCAAAAAAGAGCATGATTCAAGATATTGATCCTGGTTTCATCTGGACATCAAGCTCAAGCATTTATTTTGTTTAAGATAAGGATGGAAGATGATTCATAGGGCTTATTTGGACTTCGAGATATTCAAGTTCACTCAAAACTCTTAAGGATCAATTCAAGTGTGCAAAGCATAGTCCATTCATGAGGATTTGTTTTAGGCTCAAAGATTGTTCAAACTTGATATCAAAACTCCCAAGGCATATACTTTGCTCATTAAGCTTGATTCGAACATGCTAAGTTGAAAGAAAGTTGATGTGGATTTCTTGGAGTACAAGTCACTTGAAACATAATGCGAGGTTCATTAGTCGTTGGTGGCAATTTGTTTTAGCTTCATTCAAGCTAGGGAGTCATAAATCAAATTTCAACATTCAAGGCATAATTCAAGATTTCACGTTCAAAGATTCAAAGTCTATTCCATCCCAAATTCAATTTCCAAAGTGTCTATTTCATTAATTTAAAACAATGTCTAGAATGTTGCATCAAATGTCTCATAGAAACCAAATTGATATTAATACAGTTCAGCCAATTCACTTACACTCATCATCACTCAATATTCATCAAATTACATCAAAGTACATTAATCATCACCATTACAATATAGAAAAAATGCGTAAAAATCTACACTAAGTGTTCTACATGACTTCCTCTATCTTAATTAGTCTTCATGGTTCCATATCCCAATCTTTGAACAATCTCCATTTCCAAACTGCAAGACTTTTATGCTCTTGTTACAGCCCCGTTTCAGAACCGATTTACCACCACTGGTCTACATCGGTTCAAGAAGAAGAAATCAGCCCTACACGTGCGTCACAAATAAATTCCAAACACAAAACCATGTCCAAATCTTTGTCGTCTCGTCCATGATAGAAAATTAAGTCCTGATGAATACCGGTCTTGTTCGAATAGATAAAATCAAGAAAAAATCAGTTCAGAAGATCTAATTAGAACCAATTAGTGGCTTAGCATATTAAAAAGGAATTAGATCGGAAATAAGGAATATAGAGTGAGTTTTCAATAACAGAGTTTTGTTTTACATCAGTTGAGGAAAAAGCCAATTCTCACTTTAGCCCTGCAATTGAAAGTCAGAAAATTAAAAAAGCTATTCCAATACAAAACAGAGGGAAAAACTCAGAAATTCTAATGATACAGCTCAACATATTTCAAACTTCTCTAACAAGCTTCATAACAGAATTTGAGATGATAAATGATATTCAATCTCAATCATTCATTGGTTCTAACAGATTTTTGAAATCAAGGGACATGATTGAGTTACCTGTAGCAAACTTCTCATAGAAGCTAAGCCAACAGTTATAAATATGAGCTTCTGTTTCAATCTTGAGGAGTGGATTCATTTTTCAAAAACCTGAGAAAAAGCTGCACAAACTCTCTGAAACTTCTCCAAACTTCTCTTTGAAATTTATCTCCAATTTTCGAATATCATCCCTGATTCTTATCTCTCTGCATCTTCTTCAAGCTACTGCATAATCTTCATCATTTTCACAAAAAACCACCACAAAATCGGGAAGCTCTCTCTTCTGCTCATGATTCTGTCTTCATCATTCATGATTGATTGCTGCAGAAACTTCTCAGAGAAGCTTCAGAATTCTCTCCGAAATTCTCTGAGGTTTTAACACGATTCATTCTGCAATTCCTCTCCAAAAGCTTGATCTCAGAAATTCCTCTCTGCAACAACTCCAATAATCTTCAACCTTCACCATCTAGCATTCATCATCTTCGCTCCTAACCTTCATCAACCTTCTCCAATGCAACAACTGCAACAACTTACGCAGAATGTATCGCAATAGAATAGATTCAGAAACGCAGAGAAATTCAGAATGAGTAATAGAAAGAGTTGAAGGAGAATTAAAATAAAATGCACTCACCTCTGGTTTTCTCTTCTTCTCAGATTGAAGGTGCACTGGAAGACTCTCCGGTTGGTAAGACTTGCATCTTATTTTGTTTGTTGCTTTGCACGTTTAAGTTTACTGGCGTTGAATATGTTTTTATTACGAATCTGAAACACAATCGTGAACATCAGTGCGAGGAAGTGAGCGAAGGTCATGAACATGTGATTGAAGCGAGGTTCGCGATTGGAGACGAAGATGTATCAGAAGTGTTGAATCGAAGGCGGTGTTCGAAGAAGAAGAAGTAGCAGTAGAGATGTGAGACGGAGCACATCAAAGTGAGATGGTGAACTGGAGTGAGAACAATTTCCAAATGAAAACAGAGAGTTAATGGTGGATGGAGGTTGTTGTTCACGGTGTGGCTTTGGCGGTGTTGGGTTGAACGAATCGGACGAGCGTTTCTGTTGATTGTCGAAGGTGGACTAAGGTTGTGTTGAACGGAGCAAGGCGGAAGAGACAACGGAATTGGCGGAGGTGTAGGCAACTGCGGCGCTGCAAATCTGAGGAAGGAAGGAATTTGATTCGACACAAATCCCTTAACCCAGGCCTTCTCCTCTTAAAACGCCAACGTTTCTTTTTTATTTTATTTTTTATTTTCCTAATTTTTAATTGTTAATTGTTTTACTAAATAAATTTTGGATTAAATAGTTACTGAGATTTGGAAATGGGGAATTGGGCCGAACTAATTGGGCCTCATTTTTGAACCTCCCTTAAGCCCATACCGCCATCAATTTTCGGAGCTTGTTACCAAAAAAAATTGTGCTGGACCATTCAGCATAGGCCTAGCGTCCCATTTATTTACAACACACCTGAGCCAAGCTTTATACCTCCCTCTATTTCTTATTCTTTTATGGTTTTAGTTCTATTTTCTTTTATTGTTTTAAGATATTAAGATAATAAAAAATAATAAAAATAATAAAAAGAGATATAAAAATACTTTAGGCTTTTATAAGTATTTTAGGATTTAATTAGATTGTATTCCTATTATTTCTTCATACTTTTAATTTCTTTTAAATCAAATTTACACATCATGTTTTATGTGTTTTCTCTGTGTAATATTGATCAAATAAGATGCTTGAGAATTAAGGATTATCTTGCGTTGAAATACCATGCTCCTTTAGGATTCCATGAGACGATCAATCTCCCTTTTGATCATTTTATGTTGATTAGACCTTAGGAGGTTAATACAAGCACAAACATCAGTATAGTTGTTGCCTTCTTGCTTCAGGATAGTTCCTTCACCTTCTTTAAAAAATCTTCTCTCTCCTTTTGAAAGCACTTCTTGTTTCTAAACTTGGATCACTTTCATAATAAACTTGGACTTAGGTCCATGCATTTTCAAAATGTTTTTCATAAATAAACTTTAGTCAACTTAACAATACTTTGACCTTTTTGTGAGAAGACTAAAAACCAATCAATCTCATTCAAACCATTTTGCCACTTTGGCTCTTACTCTTAAACTTTTCTCAAAAGATTCGACTCTTGTCAATCCTTGTAGTGATGCAAACAACTAAGCTTCTACGATATGTAGTGAAGTGAGATATTTTCCACTTGGGTGTTGAGTAAGGAATTGTTGATTTTAAATCCAAGCCATATCCTCCACTTTGAGATGATTCAAATTCTCCTTTCTCATGATTGTGGGTAGTAAGTATGTTTTCCACACGGACAATGACGATGATGTCTTATCTCTTAAAATCAACCAATACACTTGTGTTTTAAAATATTTAAAAGAGGAACTACGTGTACCCTGATCCCCTATTGCATGAAAGGTGGTACGTAGGCACTAAAGATTCACAACCGCGGCGGGTGCAAAAATTATAAAAACATATTTCTTTTCTCACCTCCACCATCTATTTTTATACAACATTTTATAGCCAAAAATATACAAATTTTACAAAGAGGTTCTTGCGGAGTACCATAGATGTTTAGGGTGCTAATACCTTCCCTTTGCATAACCAACCCCCTTACCTTGAATCGTTCCCCTTCTTTTTTGGGTTATTCGCTCTTTTCCCATTCCTTTGGAAACAATAAAGCGCGGTGGAAATTTTTATTTTTGATCTATATAAGTCTAGTCAATCCAATGGCTTAGTCTTAAACATTTCTACCGCTACAGAAAAATGGCGATCAATCTCCCTTTTGATCATTTTATTTTGATTAGACCTTAGGAGGTTAATAAAAGCATAAACATCATAATAGCTTTTTCCTTCTTGCTTCAGGATAGTTCCTCACCTTCTTTAAAAAATCTTCTCTCTCCTTTTGAAAGCACTTCTTGTTTCTAAACTTGGATCACTTTCATAATAAACTTGGACTTAGGTCCATGCATTTTCAAAATGTTTTTCATAAATAAACTTTAGTCAACTTAACAATACTTTGACCTTTTTGTGAGAAGACTAAAAACCAATTAATCTCATTCAAATCATTTTGCCACTTTGGCTCTTACTCTTAAACTTTTCTCAAAAGATTCGACTCTTGTTAATCCTTGTAGTGATGCAAACAACTATACTTCTACGATATGTAGTGAAGTGAGATATTTTCCACTTGAGTTTTTTGTAAGGCATTGTTGATTTTAAATCCAAGTCATATCCTCCACTTTGAGATGATTCAAATTCTCCTTTCTCATGATTGTGGGTAGTAAGTATGTTTTCCACACAGACAATGACGATGATGTCTTATCTCTTAAAATAAACCAATACACTTGTGTTTTAAAATATTTAAAAGAGGAACTATGTGTACCCTGATCCCCTATTGTATGAAAGGTGGTACGTAGGCACTAAATATTCACAACCGCGGCGGGTGCAAAAATTATAAAAATATATTTCTTTTCTCACCTCCACCATCTATTTTTATACAACATTTTATAGCCAAAAATATACAGATTTTACAAAGAGGTTCATGCGGAGTACCATAGATGTTTAAGGTGCTAATACCTTCCCTTTGCATAAACAACCCCCTTACCTTGAATCTTTCCCCCTCTTTTTTGGGTTATTCTCTCTTTTCCCATTCCTTTGGAAACAATAAAGCGTGGTGGCGATTTTTATTTTTGATCTATATAAGTCTAGTCAATCCAATGGCTTAGTCTTAAACATTTCTACCGCTACAGAAAAATGGCGACTACACTGGGGAATGATTGACCTCTTGCTGGTCTATCCCTAAGTGGGTTGTGCCTATCTTTGTTTATCTGTGTACATGCTATTATTTGTTGTATATTATTTGTTGTATATATGCTTGTTTGCAGGATTTTTTTTTCTAGTTTTTAGGGTTCGGTAATATTTGTGTGGTGAGATAAGTCCTATACTCGGACTTGAGTGCACTTATGTTTAGGACGGGTGGTATAGTCATGTTAACTTTGAGGGAGTAATCCCAAAAAAGGAGGCATGAGATCCCCTACTCAGTGGAGGGCCCTTTGACTGTAGTGTCGTTTACCGAGTAATCGAGAAGACGTACTACTTTCGACCTGGGAGCCTGCTGAAGCTGAGGACCGTAGAACCCCTAAACCATCTTGGCCTTTTAGGAGTAGTGCGGAAGCTATGACGGAGTAATCCGGAAGTGGTTATCACGCGATACTACACTCTGACGAGTTTTTCCTAAGAATATTACTAATTACTGAGTAATCAGGACGTTGGTAATATCCGAAGGAAGGATGTAGACTATGGGAACCTTTTAGAACCTTGATTCAGCAGGTGATAAATTATTAGTCCATACCTTGTGGGTTGGTTGTTACTTTGGCTCCATGCTCGTGACGCTGGACTTTTGAACATGTTCTGTTTGTTCAGAGTATTGTACAATGATTATCCAGATTATACGAGGACATTTGATCCCATGCCTTTGATCTTATGAATGTGTGTTGTACCCCAAAATTTGCCCTCACATATTCCTCAATATTTGTCAAGAATAATCTTCAAGTTGCTCAAGTTGGTTCAAGGGTTGGACAGTCAAATCACCTCCTAAGGCAGTCAATTCAAAATTAGGGTTTTGTGTTGCATCAAGGTCCTTACATCCAAATGGCCTCAAGTGCTACCCAATGTCCTAATATGTTCTCAAGTTCATCCATGTCAAATTTCAAGCCTTGCAGAGGAAGTTTGGTCAGTCAATTGCTCAAGAGGCCCAAAAATCGACTGTGCTAGGGCAAAAGTCAAATGTGACCTACAAATAGTCAAACCTCAAGATTTTTTGTCAACATTCTCATTTTGAAGGATAATTCATCATTTTATCAAGGTTTGATCATGATTCATCAAGGATTGCTCAAGATTCATCAAGATTCAAAAGTTGCTAAATTAGGGTTTTGCAGGAAAAGTCAACCCAACTTTGACCAAGCATAACTTTCTCATACTTTATGCGAAATGACCCATCCAAAGCTAATTTTGAATAGGATGCAATTTCCTACAATCCATCTTCACACTCCAAGATCAATAAATGCTCTCACAAAAAGTTGCAAATTTGGACATTATAGGTCATTTTTAAAAGTCAACAAAAACACCTTTTTTTCCAAAGCTTATAACTTGAGCATGGAAGATCAAAATGAGATGAGACCAAAAGGGTTAGTTAGAGGACGCCTCAAGGTTTCTAAAAAGTCCAAGAACACTCCCAAAAGTTCAAAATTGAAGAAGTTATGCATTGTTGAAGTTGGGCATTTTTCCAAATTTGGCAAAAGGCAACTATCCTCAAAACTCCAATTTTTGACAAAAGGGCCCACTTTTTTCCACTTGATATGGTCTTGTCATGCCACACACGTGTTCCATCTTTAATTTCATGGCCATTCATTTACTTTTCTATTTTATTTTATTTTTATTGATTTAATTCATTTTTAATCAATATTAAATCAAATCAAATCTAAAAATTGATGTAAAGAGATTCTTGTGATCATTACAGCTTGCAAATATCATATAGCACTCAGTCAAATTCGTGCCAAGTCAAAACATGCACAAAATCTCAGATTTGATGCAAATATGGCAACTTGTTAATGGTGATCAAAATCCAATCTTGATTCTTCAATGCATAAGGATTATGGCCCAAATTTTGACCTAAACACATTCCATTATATGCACACAAGCCACACAGATCTAGAACACGCGCAAGGAGCTGCAGAAACGGCCACACAACTTTGGGAAAAAAGCTTGGAAACTTGAATTCTGAAATCCATCTTAGAGCTTGATTCAAACAAAAAGCTTGACATAGCCCTCTTCCTTGACATTCAGTGGAGCTATACCAATCAAAACCAAGCCTTTTCATTGCCTAAAACTCACTGTAAGTCTCCACGAACATTTCTCTGGACAT